AGAATTTTCATATTTATCCTTGTAAGTACTTTGTCTTCACAGTAAACTGCAACAAATTTATTAGTGTTTTAAGACATCTTTAATTTAAAAGACCTCTCTCAATCAATGCAAAACAAACTAGTAAGTGAGACGAAAATCTGTGTTATGTCCAGAAATATTCAGTTATAAATAGTGCTATGTAAATTGTTTTATGTGCATCATGCCCTGTAGTTGTAATGTTCTGCTTCAGAGGCATCTGGTGCACAGATCCATTGGCATTGCAATAAAAGGGTTTTTCTCTCACATGTATACATTTCAGCAACATCATAAATGGAATTTCCTCCTACTTGTATCCATTTCATGTCTCTGCAAACCAAATAAATAAGAATTTTAATGGTCAAGTTACTGATGCAACAGATTGGAAAACAAAATAAGAAAATTTGATTCATTATTTAGTGGTACTCAATTTATCACGATGCTGATTAAAAAATCGAGTGAGAAATTATTCTTTCTATATACTATAAAATACAAAAATTTGTGCTAGCAACAGCTTTTATTACCTTATGGACCCATTCATATTCCCCATACTTGGAGTCAAAGGTACCTTTCTGTAGCGACCTAAGTTTTAATGTAAACCTTGGACCCAATTCTTGTAATCCCACTCTTTTAGAATTTTTAAACATGTACCTGAAACGAAAAGAAAAATTAATATTTATACAGAAGACATAAAAAATTGCACAGAGCCAAACATCTTAATACCAAATTCCATGTAGATAGAATGTAAATGATGACAATGACCACTAGGACAAAACTTTTCAGTTCTTACTTTACTCATACTGGCTTAAGAAATACTACTATAGTTACAAGCACTTACATCATCAAATAAAATGCACAGAAGAAAAAAATTAACACTATTTCTAATAGTGACAAAGAGTTGGGATCAAATAAAGAAAGGAATCACTATATAAAATCTAAAAACAACTAGAGACAATTCAATTGAAGACAAATATACTGAAATTCTGTATCTGATTGTCAGTAAATCTGTTCAATTTTCCTAAAACAAATGGAGATAAATCCCAAACTCAGATTTACCTTAACTGATACCAACAATACAAAATGTTTATTTCTATAGTAACCATGTATTCTTTCTCTGTAGTGTGAAAGTAATTGCTCAGCTGTCACAATAGACAACTCAAAATAACATTTACTTTTAGGCATCAATCTGATCCTTAAAATTAAGGGTCTCTGTTATATTGCAAATGATCTATTTACATAAACTGACCTATGCTGCCTGAAGAATATGTAATCTCTCTGATTATGGAAAGTGACAACTCTCCTTCCGTGGAATTCTGGGTCATGTGGAAAAAGTGATGCTAACATTCGACCAACAGAATGACCTAGTCTTGTGTTGAAATTATTCAATATTACTTCAGGCATATGATCAGACATACTACCCTTTCTCTGAAAGCAAAATTATAACCAAAATTTTATTATATTTTAAAAAATCATATTGCATATGCAAGGATATCAAGATATCGGTCTGTGATTTAAATAGTCACACAAGTTCTAAACATTTTTATGATTCATGACCAAATGCATAAATGGGATGTATGTACATCCATTACTGAATTCAGCAGATTAGCTTTTAACACATGTTGACGCTCACCTTCAACTGTGTAGTTAATTTGACACTGGACATCTTAAAATGTGCTGTGGGTCCATCTGGTAAGTGTGAAATGACTAGTCCATCTAAGATGACACATCAAGGAAATAGCATCAATGAAATATTAACAATAGTCATATGTCCAGACGCACCCATTCTATAGGGCTGCTTTCCTGTTATACTATTGAAAATCTGATATCCTATGCAATCTTGTGGGCATACATTACCAGTGATACATCCCAAAGCAATTCATTATTTATCATTGGTATAAAATTTATATAAAACAAATCTCAATGCCATATGCCAATCAAAACAACAAAAGCCAAACAATTTTTTTGAAAATATCAAACAAATGATAAGAAACTGCATTTACTCAGGCTTGGCACAATTAAGATAAGATACTTATATCTATCATTCAAAGGATACTTGGCTCTTTTCTGTCCTCATGTATAACAAGCAGATCAGTAAAATTCTTTGCCAATGCCTGCGGTATGATTTTTTTCAAGTCCAAACCTCTTCTGTAGTATAATTCTGAGTTGGGAAAGCATTTCTTAAGTTCCTTACAAAAACAATTTGTTTTCTGAAAAATATGCAAAAAAATACTTGAGTAAAAAAATTACAAATACTCTTTGAGTGCATTGATTTATTACAACCAATATAATATCTACTCTAAAAAGTGAACAATAATATTATGGTCCAACACATTGCTCTGGAAGCAATGGCTTTGTTAGAGATCAATTACCAATCAAATTCTGCACAAGCTCACAAATGTGTGGGATTGAGCAAAAGCAAATTTTGAGTTAACCACACATCGCTTTACCTTGCCAGGCCTGTCACTTGTTGTAATGAGAATCTTTGGGCATGACTGTCTGTTGAAGTATGACGCCATCTCATCTTGAGCTTCATCTTGTAGCACCTGTTGTTAAGTAAAAATTATTCAATCATATCCAGTCATATAAAATTGGTTGAGCAATCCAATCATGGTTACCGATTATGGTCTGATCTGTGATTATACTTCTGCTTGCAGTTCTTTACTGGCAAAATAATATGTGGCAACTTTAGGTGACAAATTTACTGGAAATGAAATTTGTTATAAACAAGGCTTTCACTTTTCTAAACAAACCTCATCATCTTCTGGATTCACCATAGTTTCATCTGGCACTCTCATATTTTCTATTGTTTTTGGAACTTTCTTGGGTGGCGCCTGAAATTTACGTAAGGTTTAAATTGTTATTCTTTGTCAACATCATTATTCACCTTTTTTTTTTTTAACAAAGCCTCCTTATCATTCCCTTGATACCATTTTACCCAACATATCCAATATACTTCAACGAATATACTTCAAAGGCATAAAAAGTAAAATGAGCCATAGTGTTCTTATTTATTTATCCAAATTACCTGATCCCCAAGCTCAGCTTCTTCTTGCTTTCTCTTTTTCTTTTCTTTCTTTTTCAGCTGAAATGAAGAAAAAGTAGCTATGTATTTCTAATGATATTCTCACAGTGCAGCTCATTACTGTCACCAAAATAATAGCTAGTCCAAATAACTGGCCTCTACATTAGTCCTCAAATATGTGATCATGCCAATAATATGTTGTACTCGGGAAAGATTGTTACGATTTCATCAGACCTTTGAAGTCATGATGTCCATCTGATAAAAAATGTTTTGAACTTCAAATAATTAATGTTCTCTTTTAAAAATAATTTTGAACTATGTTTCATTTTCTTTGGCAAATAGTATGAGACTTAACACCTTATACCTACTTTGGCAACATAAGCATTTTGGCAGGTCACATGCAACTTTACTGAGATATACCTACTTTGGCAACGTACATATCTTGGCAGGATACATGCAAAGTTACTGTATTAGATGTGAAGCAAATGTAAGCTGACGACTGACTGGTCCAAGCTTTCTGTCACTAACCCTCTCATTCACGGTTTATGAACTTACTCAACGTCAAAATATCTTATTTATCTATTTATTTATTTATTAATCTTTTTAATGTAGATAGAAGCAAAGTCTGATTCATGAACTCAGAATCAGTCGAGCAGCTGTATGTTGGTACTGTGCCAGTGGTGGTATATCCAACAAACTAAAAGTACCTTTATCTGCTGTTTTTTCATCTCTCTGAAGGCCTCAGATCTCCTGATTTTGTTCTTGAATCTGGAAATATTAGGTTTCGGGAGTAAAACCTCTGTTTTTTCCGCACGCTCCTCGTCCATGCTTTTTTCTTTCGCCATGTTTCTTTGCATCACATTTGACGTAGAGTTTCCCTTAGAAAAATTCCAGAATTACACTTCAAATATCTTCTGTAAAGCATTCGCTCTCCTTTTATTTATCAAAATAATTCTATAAATCAATCAATATGTAAAAGTATAAGTTAAAGATATGTAAAGATTAAATGATGCCATCTTATAACTAAAACTAAACTAATGGACTGCTAGCTCTGCACGACATCCCAAGATGAGCTCAGTCGATGTTTTGAGGCTGAATGCAACTGCCCTCTAGCGAGCTCTCTGAGCAATTCTCAAGTGTCATTGTGTAAGGAAAATTTTGCTGAACAATTTTATTTTTCATAGTAAAGTTTAACTTTAAAATTTCTAAAAATGTCCCAACATCATATTTTTTGTCTTAAAGGGATAATAACTCTTCGTGTGAGATCTATATTACACAATAAAAACATTGTGAATAACTCATAGAAATATAATATATTCTGTTTTACCACAAAAACGGCAGTTATAGCTATTATTCTGATATCTGAGCTTGTCTTTAGACCACGTGACCTCCTCTGACAAAAAAAAACTTTTAGAAAAAAAGCAGGGACTAACTTTGAATGTTAAAACGGATTCATTAACCATTGGTAAGTATTGGAAAATTGTTGTTTACTCCAGGAAAATTCATTTTTTGGCCGAAACGAAGAGTTATTATCCCTTTAATATCATTCAAAATTGCTTATCATTCCCAATTCAGACTTATAAACGATAAAACTCCTCAAATAAAAGTGTCTGATGTTGACACTTCCTTCTGAAATTGATCAGGTAGACGTGGCGGTGCAAATTAATCATGATTCGTTAAGAACTAATTAGTTATTTCATTAGAAACTGAACAAAACACCGAATCCAAGTTCGAGGAAGGGTCGAGGAATGATTTGTGACTATAATTTATTCATTGTTTTTCTAATAATAATAAGAAGAAGAAGAAGAAGAAGAAGAAGAACAATAACAACAACAACAACAACAATAATAATTCAAATGGGGTGATTTTTAAGTTTATACTTTGACAGTAATCGTTAGAGCTTTGAAATGTGTGCACATATGGTCTCTGCCAGCGATGTAATGGTTTACCATAGAGAGGTGTGGAGTTGTGATTTATTGGGCGATGACCAATGTTTTCTATGTTTTTGACGTTGGCAGCTAATTCCTTTTATATATAAAAGATGCACAATAACTCTATCTTAACATTCATTTTGCAAGTTTTGACATTTCTATGCATAATTACATATAACCTTTTCGTATTTATAATAATAATTGAATTGAGAAAAAAGAAGACTATGACAAAAATTGCGACCGTAAGATAAATTGAATGATAGGCCTATATATATATATATATATATACTGTATATGAGCAGTGGGCACTCAAGCTATTTTGACATTTATATTCCCCTTTTTTGTTGATTCATCGTGGTTATGGTTGTGACTCATTATTTTTAAGGAGAAGAAACACGAGAACAGATCTTTATTTTCTTTAACATTCAATACAAGGGCTGTATCAATTGTTTGATTTGAAATGGCATACGCCGTGTACAAACAACTCGTGATATAAACGTGTTATTGTATATTAAGCTCAGTGAACTGGACAAAGAGAACAAATAGTCAACGGGTTTATCGACTACTGGACAGTAAGAACCAACTGTTAGAATATTTTAACTTAGATGCAGTTTCGGTTACTGGATTCGAGTCCCCGTGACGTCAAGCTAAGGTAGGCTAAGTAGGTTAAGGTGTCCCGCGCGACCGCCTTTGTATTCTGCTATAAATTTATATTGTTATTGAGCACTATTCTTCACAGCATATAATCGATCTGCCACAAAGGCAAAGTCTTGTCGATTTGAATGTCGCCTTATTCACGGTCGCAGTAAGCTAACATAGTCTCGGTACACAAAGCGCGATGAAGTTATAAGCCCGTATCCTATGTACATTTGCCAGTTCAGGTAAGTTGAGAACAACGGCTGGAAAAATATTAAAAACAGCGCTTCGTTTTTCGTGACTTGACGGGACATTTTGATAAGTAAGTAGGGGGTATGTCTGATGGTATCAGCCAACACATTCATATGGCTCCTTTAGAGACCTTTTATTAAAGTGAATAGAGATAGCATCGGCTTGGCTTGGTCTCAGCGCGCGACCTCGGGGCCACATTTAAAAGTGTCACGGGTGCCATCTTAGCAATGGTGACAACGTGCATAATTTATGACTTTTTGGATACACCTAAATGCGCGTCATGCTCTAAAACTTGTCTCATACTTTCTTTTAGATTCAAGAGATAGGAAATCCACCAAGCAGGCTGCTGAATTACAGAATATGTCTGGGGACATGTCGATTCCTGGGACATCCAAGACACAACCGAAACCCTCCCCTGATGCATACGCAAGCCTTTCGACGCAGATCAACGAAGACTTTCTCACGTGTCAAATATGCATGGAACTTTTCAAAGAACCAAAGGGCCTGCCATGTTACCACACGTTCTGTTTAGGGTGTATAGAGGATTATTTACGGCGTCTAAACCCTAAATATGGTACCGCGGGCTTTCAGATGAAATTCTCTTGCCCAGTGTGTTGTAAAGAAATTCAAGTTCCAGAAGAAGGTGCTAAGGGGTTTCCAACTAATCTGTTGGCTAACAATCTCAAGGAAAAACTACAAAAACGTAAGCGTGCTCTTCTCCAAAATGTCACAGAAGAAAATCTGTGTGTGTGCGGTACCGTTGCCTTATCCATCTGCCTGGAATGCGATCAGCTGCTATGTGGCCATTGTGAAAAGTCACACAAAGCCCTCAAAATTACCGAAGCACACGAGATCATGTTGCTCAAAGATTACAGCAGCGCTGACAGCAAAACCACGATGCTTCAGAGAAGAAAAATAAAATGCCGTAGCCATCCTGCTGAAATTTTAACTTATTACTGCATTGATGATAGTGAAGTTATTTGCAGGGAATGCGTTGTCAAGTCGCACAGCAAACACAATTTCGTTGAGCTGACCTCGGTAGCAGACAAGCACAGAGGCCAGTTACAAAATATGCTGAAAGTGGTCAAAGGGAATACAGAAAAACACCAAGCAGCTATTAAAGAACATGAAAATGCAACCTTGTCGCTAGAAACTTCGAAGTCCGGATTAAAGCAGAAAGTCGAAGACCGCTACGAGAAACTTGTTACTCAACTAGGCAAACACAAAGAAAAATTAATGGAAAAAATCGACAATGAGTTCGAACAACAAATGCGTGGACTTTCCCTAAGCTTGGCCGCACTCAAGGATGGGTGCGTTACGTCTCAAGGTTTAGCTGGGTTTATTGAGGAACTGGAAACGTGTGGATGTGATGCCGAGGTAGCTACATATGTTCAAAGTTTGGAAGGGAAAGTTGAGAAGCTGGATATCGTGCCTGCCAAAAAACCAGTGAACAGCGCTGATGTTTTCATATCCTCTCCCAATAGTGACCTCACAGATGGGAAAGTATTAGATAGCTTATTCGGAAGAGTTCAGACAAGGAAAGAAAGTGCCGAGGAGTCCTCAAAGAGCGCAAGATCACACAGCAGTCCAACTCTAGATGTGGGGGGTAGTAACCAGCCCAGCAATCCTGGTGCGTCGTCCGCTGCAGCAGGGCGTGTATATTTGCCACATGAAGGCAGCAGGGGTGTGCAAGGACGACACAACCAACAGGTGCAACAAAGAGACGTGCGGCAACGTGCACGTATACCTCAGAGGGCTGACAAACACAAGAGCTGTAGCTCTCAGTGACATTTCAGTAATTTAATCAGAACACAGTGCGTATTTCATATGTCGTAAGGAACGAATAATTTCTGCGAAACACCTCTCGAAACAAAAAAAGGATTTTGAGCGCACTTCACTACCTTCCCTTTTGGTTATTATCAAAACTTTTTCATTTTTTTTCAAAACACTACATTCAAATCCGCTTGGTTATCTTTCATTTTTAATTATTTAATTTATTTACTCCTATTGTCCTTTAATCATTCCATTTTTAAAATTTCTGTTGTCCTGACGGACATCCAGTATTATATCTCACCTCTCTGTCAAAGGCCTCTGTGCGTTAGGTCGTTTTTTACTAGTGAAGATTTGATGGTTTAAATAAACACGGCAGATTTAATTCTTATAATGATTATCAATTTCAAGTATCACTTTATTTTGGTAAAAAAAAGCGCCCCAGTGCCTTTATTGTTTTACAGTAAACTAAAACGATAGAAAATTGTTGCAAGGGATTTAGTTGAAACAATTTTTGTTGTTGTTAATGATATAGAATTATTATATGGATAATATATGTGAATCTTAGAAAGAAATGAGACAAATATATTTTAAAATTTCATATGCGCTTTTGTGATTCCTTAGATTCAGAGTTGGCCAACTGCTAACCTGAGATACTCTGTGAAAATGTTAATACTCGGTGAACACGGATCTTGATTGCATTTAGAATACGTACTCTCTATGTGCATGTACCAGAGTCAAACTCACGTTGTCGTATCTCTAAACCAATACACAGACGCTGCCAGTGGTTCGTTTTTGAATTTTTGTCTCCTTAACCGAAAATGAGTTCCCAATTCCCGCCATTAAGCAATCGGAGGGTTTGGTTTAAAAGCACTGAGCTTAGTATTACAGTCTCACGGAGATAACCTATCATGATTATTAGTTTAATGTGCACTTAGAAACGCACTCTTTATATGTGAATTAAGGGATCTTGAAAGGGAGATCGAACATTAGGTTTTTATGAACAAACGCGGTGGATGGAAGCGTTAAGATAGGCAATAGCGTGAATAACTTTCTTTTTATAGGAAACCGAAAATGAGTCGCATTAAAATATCATCAGTACCAAAGTCACCAAAGTTATCTGAAATGATTTAATGAAAGCATTCCCTGACACTACATAGATAACATAACATGCTGTCAACATGAAAGAACTGCAATAAGCCTATATGTATTTCCAATGATCAGGATTGCGTGGCGCGTCGTGTTTTTAACATCATATGCATACCAATAAGTGCAGAACGAACGACAGAAAAATAGTTGTTTAAGTTACATTCATTGACTCTTTGCTCTGTATTATTTACACGTGTAATGTTTTTACTTTTTGCTAGTTTTATCTGTAGCTCTCCAAAAAGGCATATATGGTGCATACCAAGACACAGACATCAAGCAGTTTGATGATTTGAGCCAAACACCACTTGCTGACATAAAAATGAATGTAGAACTGAGCCCTTACGGACATAGAAATGTCACTGACTTCTTACTTCGTTATAAGGCCTCTGGCGACAAGACGTAGATAAACATATTATTAAAATCTCAAGCTCTGAACGTAGCATTTCTAGCTGTATATAGCGTCCGTGGAAGTTGGCGACATTGAGAGAAACCTTGGATTTCTGATCTTGCTAGTGTCCTGGTCTTCACGCCTCGTCACTCAGCGTGGGGCATTCAGCGCCTCCGTTCATGGCGGGTTGCACGACGACACGGTACCTGATCTTCCTGCCAGTCTTACACTTGCCCTGGCATGGGCCCCATTTGCCCCAGTCTGCTACCTCGCAATCTATGGGCGTGGCTGGAAAAATATGACAGTTATTTTAGTAAAAAAGTTAATCTTGAGCTTCAAAATCATCACCCAATATTGTTATTTTTAATATAAAGCATTTTTGCCGCAAGATTCTGTTTTGAAAATTTGATCTCTACTTTTTAAAAGTTTTTTTTGTATCGCTGGATTTTGTTATTAATTTTCTAGGAGGTTATCCAATAATGGCTAGATTCCCGTCAGATTTTTCGTATTCAAGACGAAGAAAGGAAGAAAAGAAGAAAGGCTGTTTGAAAATTAAAAACATTTGAAAAGATGTATTTTTTTCTTTGAGAAACATCACATACAGTTTAATAGTAAGTTCACTCATTCGCACAAGATGAAATACGACGAGCCCAGTTTATGGATAACGAAGTTGTAAGGGAAGCCAGATAACTGGGATGTAATCGCCAATGATTACCAAGAGGCAGCCTTATGACGAGTCTTTTGATCCTACGACAGTAACTTTTTCAGGTCTCCCCTTTCGTGAGCATTTTCTACTTTTTAATTTTTTTGTCATATTGCCCCGTTAAATGTAATTTTTCTAAAGAAAACCACAAAACGCAACTAGGTTTCTGAATTATCAGAATGTACAAAAGCTGCCCAATTTGTATTTTGTATCTTCATCGGCATTATTGATGACATTCGTCAGTGCGCAACCTCCTCCTTATTTTCACTTAACTAAACGTTAACATATCATTTTCTGATAAACTATTAAAGAATGAAATAAAATGAAATAACTCTTACATGTGCCCTCTTCCTCGACGTAGTCATTGTCATCAAGCAGATCGCTAAGGTTATCAACATCTGAGATGTCGATGGGAGCCTTCTCAAACGTCAAGGTTCCAATTCGTGGTAGCTTGTTCAGCTTGGGATAGTAGAATGGGCTTGCAGGGTGGCTCGGGCTCTTGCTGGTGATCTCTGAAATCTTCTCCTTGCTGGGCCAGTCTGGTGAGGTAAAGGTCAGTCCCTTGTCCACCCCAGCGTCGATGGGGTTCAGCTGAATGGTCACCTTGTCCTTCCATTGGTCACCTTCGCATAGGTCAAGACTGTCTACGCCCACGAACCAATCTGGGCTGGGAATCATTCGTATCACGATGGAAACCTGTGAAGTAAAGGCTTAATTAGTCGTCTTACTTATTGATGTGACTTGAGATGTACTCATCCGTGCCGTTTTGGTGTTAATTACTTCGTGTGGGACGAGTCATCGTGTGGCATTACTCATTTTATATGAACTTACATTACGTTGATTTTGATTCTCCATGTCCAAGTGATTTTGAATGGATGAAAGGATGCATTTAAATAGAAAACGTAAATTGTTAAAAATGCACACATCAAGCATGAGACAGTGAGGTAAGTAAACAAATAAAGAACCGAAAAAACAAACGATGCCAGAAATGAATAAGCGTACGAATAATNCGACAAATTTTGTTGCTACCACCCAATAAGTATGTCCAAATTTTGAGAAAGTTTTTCCCATAGAAAAGTTGGAGTAATTACCATATTCATCATCCTTTGTCATTTCCAGCTGTCCTTATTGATTATACAATTACATACATGTGGAATCTGCTCTCTATGCTATAAAGAGATATAGTACCAGCATGCCAAGACCACCAAATAGTGCTGAATTTTAAAAGATTTTTTCAAGTACTGTACATACAGGGAATCAAGGGTCATTCTGATAAAATATATCAACTGGATCATATTTAAAACTGATCTTAAAACTGATGTAGAGTGGGTGGGGGGGGGGGTATGATTTTTTACCGCATTATCAATGATTTGTAACCTAATAATTCCTCTTCCTGAAATTTTGAAGGTTAAAAGGACTCAGATAAATAGGCCAAGTAAACAATGGAATGGTCAGAGAAGCAGTTCAATATTAATCCATTTATTTCAAGGTGACCTCGAATCATTGTGGCTATAGGACTTTTTCTCTAAGTACTAAATATACAAATTACCCGAGTCAAGGATTTATGAAAATGACCTTCCTCCCTGATTAAAACATCCACACCTTTAACAATATGTTGAGTTTAAGGAAAATGAGAAAAAAAATTCACCAATTACCTCATCACTGATGAGGCATAAACAAATGAATTTTGGTTGATACCAAAAGATAATATTATGTTATCATCATCTGAGGTATCCTTCTTAAGAAAATGAGAATAAATACTAGTTATCAGTTTGTTCAAAGCTAAACAGTACATGTGCCTCTAAACATGGAGAAAATCAAAATCATTCGGCCATGATAAGCATAATCTACAATTACCCTAGATATCCAGCAGTGAACGTTGTTCATGAAGCAAACTACTCACATGATAGGCAAATTGCAACAATCCCAAATAGTGGGTTTAGGATGATAGAAACCCAGGCAAACACAATGTAGGATTTTGGTCTCTTCAGGCGTCCTCCCTTCACCGGGTAGTGTGTTGGCTTCTCATAAGGGGAAGTTGGTTTTTCAGTGCTGTTATCAACAACTTCTTTGTCACCCGAGGTACTCATCTTTGAACCAGACACTGTGTTTTTCTATTCAATCCTACACCTTTAAGCCTTGATATTTGGAGCAAGACAAAATGTACGCCTTCCACCATGAACTATAGCTGGCAACTGCCCTACTTATCCTACAAAGCTTACTAGTATATAGATATGAGAGGCCAAGGGTTTACAAATACTTACATGATAAGCAAATTGCGACAATCCCAAAAAGGGGGTTAAGGATGATCGAAATCCAGGCGAACACAATGTAGGATTTTGGCCTCTTCAAGCGTCCCCCTTTCACAGGGTAGTGGGTTGGTTTCTCGTAAGCAGAAGTTGTCTGTTTATAAGGAGGAGCGTAAGGCTCATCAATGTCAGAGATTTTCACATCCTCGAGTTTTCGGGCCTCCTCGCTGTCACTCGTCACCTGGAGGTGTGTCCTCTCATCCACATGGTCCTCGTGGTCGCTTGCTGCGTGATTTTTCTCCAGGTTTTCAGGCATCTGAATGCATTCATCTTTACCAGATACCTGGGAATATTTTACATTGCCATTCTGTACCGCATCGTCTTTTCCTGTGCTAACTTCACTCATTGTGTATCCTTTCTTGATTTGATAGTTCCTGAAATGAATATTTTTAAGTGGTTTTATTCCAGTGCAACTGATCTCTTCTGATTGTGGGTTAAAAACTGAAGCTTTTCTTATTGTGCTTAAATGAAAATGGAAATCATTCTTATAGTTAATTTACAACATGTATAACACTAATACGGGGTAATGGAAGTGCATTCATTAGACATTGGAAAATTATGACAAAGACTGTTTCATATTTCATATCTAGACTATGTTTCACTTAAAAATCATTTTCATAATCAATTTAAAAGCCTAGAAGTGTATTTTAAATGCACAATGACATACTAGTGCGTAAGTATTCTCCATATGATTGATTTAAAATAATTACACAGGTGTAGTTTCATTTCTTTTCTCATTTGTATACAACACATGATGTAATTGGAAACTTTATGCATTGAATGAGTCTCACGTACAGTTCCTACACGTAAAAGAACTAAGTAGCTGCCCAAATCATCAGCATTTCTTTTTCAAATGAAAGAAGGCAATGGTCACATGCGTATAAATTACGTAAAACTGTTCAACACCCAAGCCCGTAGCCAGGGGGGGTTCAGGGGGTTCAAAAGAACCCCACTTTTTGCTGAAAAAAGGTCCACTCTGGGTAAAATTTGACCTAGGTACATGGGGATTATATGGTAAAAGGTCCACTTTTTCAGAAAAAGAACCCCCCCTTTTGAAATTGCTGGCTACGGGCCTGACACCTTAGTTAACTTGCTGTCACTGAACTGCTACGCTGTATTTCAGTGTAGCTGAAGCCTCCCAATTCCTCTTATCTGTTTGGAAATAACAAACCCTTGCAGACCAGGATGTGAGTTTTTAGGCTTGTCCTTTTCACACTGTGCCGTGCAGTTTCCATTTTCGCAACGTTTTGAGAGATTTACAAATTCACAGCCTGGCTATTGCGTAAGAGTCATCTGCAAGACCTGTCAACTTGTTTAACCCGGTCAAAATGTTGCGATATGGACAAGTATACACCACAATGTGAAAAGGGCTTAGGTGGACATCAGACAAGATTTTTTAAAGCAAACATGCATCTGAAACTCAGGGCTACAGCAACCTGGCTCAGATAAAGCACAAAAGGCCTAGCATTAACTCTAGATAATGATATCTGCAACCGAGTCAATTATTTCTGGCCAAAGTAGGTCAGACAATATCAACAAAATAAGTGATATGAAATAATAAAATGACATTAATCAAACAGTATCATTTAGATTTGTGTGCTTCTCTGGTATATTTTATTGATCAGTCATGCAATAAAATGTTATAAAAACATTGGATTTCCAGGAGAAAACTGGTGATAAATCAATTTTGGACACAGTTGTAGTAGTACAGTCAAACAAGATGACGAAATCCGGTTCTGTATGTCAACATTAGCTTAAGTACAACATAATCTCAAATGTCTTGCAAGATGAATTGTTAAATATAATTCCCTGATAAATATATTATGACAATATCTCTGTCATAAATTGCACTGGAGCATTCCACATTATACTATCCTTCAATATCTCTTCAAATACAATAAAAGAGAAAAAATTGCTCCTCATATGTCACTCAAATGGTCAGCTGTCATATGTGGAATCTATTTCGTCCAGCCTGAGTAAATTTAAAGTTCTAAACAGAATTTTTTCTGATTCTCAATCTCTTACTAGTAATATAATTTAGTGTATAAATATACTTCAAGTCCATTATTACCCCCCCCCCCCCTCACTCCACAAAAAATTCGACTGGTTGAGATAATTCCAAGTCTTTATAACATCATTTCCACATATGTGAGAGCACATACATGAGAAGTAGTCATTATCCAGTCTGAAGATATACATTTAAAGGTAATGTGTACCTAGGATTAGCCTCCTTTGTTTGCACTGTGCCAGTAAAAGATTAAGTGAATCTTGCAAATAAGGTTTTGCATGGCTACCTCTGTAAAAAAACATCAATCCGAAATGTCTGATGTGAACTTTATTTCCAAGTGGCTTGTAGCATATATTCTTCCGTGTCAGTGATTTAACTGCACTGCCGCAGGGTAGATAGTAGCATTGGCTTGCTATATTTTGTTGCTCTGGAGTATGACTTATATTTTTTAAGTACTTCAGGGCTGTATTTTGGCAAATCTGTTACTTACAAACCTTCAAGAATACCAACTTGCATGAACAATTGTACTTTCGTGAAAAGATACAAGAAATTCTATATCCCAACATTTCTTGTTTTTTTTTTTTTTTACCAGTGTGTTTTGTTTTGCATGGCTACTCTCGTTAGTATGCATAGATACTCATCAGACCAAACCAGGCACAACATGACAGACGCAGAGCAGTGCTGCCTATTTACTTAAAATATCAGCACCAAAGATGGAAAATATGAGTTTTGATAAACTATTGATTTCCTAATTTTTTGAGATTTCACCTAATTTTTCATGTGTTATCCTTATTAAGGGCATTAAATATTTGATGTCTCACAGAAAATTTGCAAATGAAATTAATTTTGAGTGTCATATCCCAAAAATAAGAATTCTTTCTCAATGCAATTTTTCACATTTTTCAAAATGAACACTCTATAAAATCATGAATTTACATATTACAGCTAAATCTTTTATAAATCCCAAGCCCTGAAATCTCTTTTTTTTTTCAAAAATTGTTACTTATGGTCGATTTATTAACAGTTGAAAATGTTATGTCCAAGGCACAAATACCACGACATCCATCATGACCACAGCTGCACACTATTTACTGTGTTTTTCTGGTTTGTGCTGCCATTATTTATTATTATTTTTTTTTGTTGTGGTGCAACACAAATGACATGCAACACTCCAATATATCTGTTGTTCATATAGCTCAATATTATAATTCAGTCTGGCAACTTGGCTCACTGATTTGATAAGACAATTGCATCTGGACATTTCTTGATATGAAACAGTGCATGAAAATGCCTGCAATAGAAGTACTGTTTAAAATCCTCCACATCCACGTACTACTTCAATTACTAGCAACCAAGAAGGACCAAAATCTGAAATTTTCTGGTTTTCTAAAAGTATACTTTACATGTGTACTAAAAGTATACTGTAATATGACTGTCATTTAATGGGCAATTAAGACAAATTAATTTTTTACTTTACATATGGCCTAGTAAAATTGTGAATGGAGATACTGTGTTATATAATATAATAGAAAAATACCCATCACAAGATATCATAAAGAAAAACATAGTTAATACATTAACATAACAAAATTAAATAAAGGCAGTAATTTTGTGGAAGTAAGTGTGTGTCTGTGTGTGTGTGGGGGGGGGGGGGGATGGTATAGTGTCATAAAAAACTACATACATTTAGAAGTTGCTTTTATGATCACTCCACCTGGTATATTCAGTCCACTGTATCTTCTTGGTGGTTATAAAAGGTTTGATTTACAGCAGCAGGTGCAGATGTCAAATAAAATGCTAACAAATTAAATTCTTGTCCTAAATAAATGTCACTTGGTGCAAAAAAGGCTGAGGGCAACTCCATCTTTGATTTCAGTGAGTCCTTTGTCTTTTCAGATATAGATCTATCCAAAACGGTGATATTTCTACAGCACACGACTAGTTATCATACATTCGTATCATTATGGCTCGCTGTTGTCAATATCACCACATCGACTTTGTCCATGTTTAACGTCGTATTTAACAATGAAAACGCAAGTTGTGTCACTGCTGTAGACCATTTATTATGGTTCGAAGACAACACTGTCATTTCAGTCAGCGTAAAACGAAGCCATATCCCAGCTACCGTTCCTTCGTGAATTTACTTAATACCTCCACCAGTGTAACATACACATACTGGTGGAATAAGTAACTACAACTTAAATTTGGTGCTCGTAAATGATCAACTCCAAGTTGACCTGACATTTACGTTCAGTGACGTAAATCTGGCGTCGTAAATGTACACAACTCTTCAAAAAACGCTAAAAATCACGACCATTATATGTTTGTAGATCTGACATCAAGTTGAATCACAAAATATAACTATTAATTTTATACAGAGTACTTACCGCTTCTTTTACTTGTTTCTTCGGTGATTGTAAGTCGTTTCTTTGTCCCAAATATAAATCCCGAACGCTGAATGTTGCGCAAATTTTCCAAATTTCCGTCTGACTCACCACAGGAAGTTTATAAGTCATCCAAGGTTACGCATGCGCAGAGCTACAAATGAGGATTGGGTAAATTTCCTGACGTTCACGATCTTGTTTAAGAAACTGCTAATCTTTTAAAATTTAAATCTGACCGTGCTGATGGCATACCCAAATCTTTTGTCACTTACATTTAGCAATACCAATTACTTTCTGACTCTAAACGCATATGTTATAGGTATATTACCCTGTAGCATGTAAGATAGGCGAAATTACCAATGGTGTAGACTAATAGCTAATTAAGTGTAATAGAAAATGTCATTTCGTACCAGTAGAATTTATTCATATCCATCCCATTTCATTATTAAAAACGATCTTAAAACGATTAAAGGGCTCGAATAAAAGTACCTGATGTCCTATTTCCGCTTAAAATGTTCACGAAATTTTGGCGATGGTAGGCCTATAATTAATAGGCTTAAGCAAGGAGTTATAACTGTTATAACTCCTTGGCTTAAGTAACGGTCAGTTATTTAAAAGTAATTTAAATTAAATTATTTGATTAGGAAAAGTGCATGCACATGTGCTGGCCCCAGTAGGCCTATAGCCTAAAACATCGAAACAAAGTGCATAGACAGACCGGGTTATGATTCGTAATTTCTCTAGAGATTTTTTTTTTTTTTTTTTTTTTTAGAAAAGTTCAATTTGGGGGGAGAAGGGATATCAGTGTGACAGGAACGGGCCTATATTGGTACATGTAGTCCGCTAGGCAGGCTAGTCCGTTCCCCATTTCTTTGTACAATGTGCAGGTGACATTCTTCCTATAGGCTACAATATCCCCAATAGGCCTACATGTACTCCGACTAACCCTTAACTGTGATGGACTTCCATTCTTAGGACTCTTTATAAATCATTCTAAATACATATAAGGGCGTTCTTTGATGTAAAACAACAGACAGACTCATCATCATTAACCTTATTAATGCTTTTGTACCCGAAGGTGCAGCACTATTAAATGCCCATAACTAGATCACAGTTTGGCCAACGTTTTCTGCTAAATCCTATACCAGATGTAAACTCTAAACGCGAGGCAAATACACTGTACTGAGTACATGTACTGTATGTGTCTATTCTTTTATTTGGCAGCATCGTTTTCTCTTCAGTATTACTATTTTCTCCACATAATAATAATAATAATAATAATAATAATAATAATAATAATAATAATAATAATAATATCAACGACAGGTGTACATATCAACGACATATCCTGGGTCCTTGTAACTAGGTAAAGCGGATACAGTCCACTCCAGATAAACAGTTTAAGTCAAGCGGATGTGCACCTAACCGGGGTATGTCGTAACACATACTGTACCTGTAGGTGCGCCTCTCTCTCTCTCTCTCTCTCTCTCTCTCTCTCTCACACACACACACACACACACACACACACACACATTCACTCTACCTCTTTCTCTTTACTCTTACCATTCCGTCTTTTGCTCGTCGACGTTGTCCAATGAAAAAATAAATTATGGCAGAGTGGGGCCTTAATTAGCCAGATTAACACTACCCTGTTCTCATTCTCTTCCACTTCCGTTACATTAAATGAACTATACTGCACCGTCTAAGGCCGCATTCACATCGAGTTGAGCCATGGCTCTACAAAGCCACGACCTAAATATGGCGGACGTACATGAAAGGACAAAACGCATAATCTGTTAATAGTCTCTCCGCCTCTCACACGCCTCCCCACGCGTCGGTCCTGCGGGGGTACAGTCATTAAATCTCGGTTCCATTCGCCCGGAAGCTGGGGAGGCGTGTGAGAGGCGGAGAGACTATTAAAAGATTAGGCTTTTCCCTTTCATGTACGTCCGGTCCGCCATATTTAGGTCGTGGCTTTGTAGAGCCATGGCTCAACTCGATGTGAATGCGGCCTAAGATGCTACAACACACCAACAATTTTACAAATAAAATCTACTGATCACAATTACGTTAGGTTTTATTCGTCCGCAGATCTAGATCCAGCAGAACGTTGAAATTCATAACTATCCAGTGTCATCACTACGCTCAGCCATGCCTTACTGCTCGCGGTCATTGTCGGTGTATTGTGACGACTGTGGTTTAACAGCTTTTTGATTACCCACTAAAACTACAGTTACAACGCTATGAAATTTCAAATAACTAAATAACGCTTATTTTATTTCATATACAGTTCTTATATAATCAACAGCATTTTGCATATATGAGTATTTAAATTGGATAAAATATAACAGAAAATAATATGATATATCAAATTTGTTGTTTGTGTAGGCTACATGTACAGTGCGAATATATCAATGTTTGATCAGTTATCACTTGTGTATGAATAGTCAGGTTAAGTGATAATAAAGTTCTTTTTTTATAGTGTGCGAGGGCGCAAGTTATAAATATATATATACATAATAGCTATTAATATACACACATATATTTTTTTTCTATTATCTAAAATATTGTTTGTTGCAGTATCTAAAAGGCGGGAGCAAAATGTCCTGAACAACGGATGGCATGGAGGAATAATTTCACGAGCGGGAGGGTATGTACATGATACATATGATAACAACATTTGCATTTTGGTATTCAAATAAAATGTGTATCATCTTTACTTATTTTCATTGACTCATGAAGCCTCTTGTTGGTGCCCTAGCTCTATCTGCCAAGCAAACGTCGATCCACCTGTTTCTGTAATTAAATTATATTCCCCGTTCAATTAATATGACTTAATGACCATTTCGCGGAATAATGACGTTCTCCTTATTTGTTACATGGAAAGATCGATAAAAGCAATTCCTAGATTGTGTTACATGAAAAACAACACAGTTCAAGGTTTTCTCGGATTTCCATTGCAAACATGTGTACAGTACGCCATGTTTCAAAAAGCAATTACTCTCATTTCTTTCTTCTTAATTGGAGCCTCTTAAGGCACTTGCTAGAACCAGTCGTGATAATATTAGGTAATCCATACATGTACATGTAGCCTCTTCCACAGCTATCGGTTTCAATTACTACAACTCTCTGACCACAGGATCCGCTAGCAGTCTGTTACAAAAATTTCGTCTATTCTTTCATTTTGTATACTATTTTAGAGGCCCCTGATATCAGAAGGCAGTTCGCTACTGTGGCAGTTCACTACTTTCCTTGCATACAAAAACATAATAATGAAATAACGGTCTAAAAGAATTATCTACCTAGCTTATTGGATTGACGTATGAAATAGCAAAGTGTTCTACGGTCCATAACAAAATTACCAATAAAGATGGAAGTAATACTGTAAAAAAGTGGACAATGATAATCATATAACTAGAAAAGCACTCAGAGAGCGCAGACCTCCGCCAAGGCAGCAAAGTCTCCATCCAATGCCGTTTCACCCCTAAATTTGAGATAGTTTTGATTATTGATTGATAATTGATCCGGATCACCACCAAATACTAATCACTTCTAAGTTAACCCATTTCTGACCTACCCTGAAAATTCCATCGAAATTCATGCATAACTTTTTGAGTTATGTTGATGACAAACAAACAAACAAACAAACAGGGGTGAAAATATAACCTCCTTGGCGGAGGTAACAAAGCAAGTTTGTTAAAGAAAATGTATTGCTTTGTATGATTTCCTCCACTTATTCATATCACATCGTTGTACCGCAAAGCCAGAACAATTCCCAAGGCGGCCAAAGTACAGCAGATTCCAAGAAGTCCTATGAGAAAGGAGGCCACCTGTAATCTCTTGGAATGGCGAAGGTTACGCTCAGATGTCTTTAGTCTAGTCGATGTACCTGAAACAAATATAAAACTGCTAAGACTCATTGGTAACTTGGTTTTCTTAGGATATCACGGGTAGGAAAGCGAGACTGAATTTTGAATGTTTAAAAACATACGTCATATAAATAATTTCCTATAAAACCATACCCGGCCACCAGTGCATATTGTGTTAATTTGGGACATTTTTTTTCACTATTATTTTTCATTCTTTCTGCTACATAAAAGAGTCGTATCTTTTTACATGCACTGTTAAAATACACGCATATGTACATGTGTGTGTTGTGTGCGCCCATTAATCATTTATCATTTCCATGGTTTCCATGCTTCAACCACGAAATGGTTAGAATACTCCAGATTTCCCAAAGCGACTACTGTAATCGGAAATGTGATAAATTTATGCGGTTGTTTTGCAACTAGAATATAGGTCTTCGCTCTTCCCTATATTTTACAACTGTATAGAAACTAAAGAATGTGGATGTTCGACACACCCGCGTGCGCGCGCGCACACCTACACACACACACACACACACACACACACACACACACACACACAGACATGCTGGACATCGTTTGGCGCTCGCTGATTTTTCTTTCTCGTTGTAAAACGTAATTGTAGATGGCATTCACTTCCATATTAACATCAATGCTATTGTATCAAACATTGAGTTAATTAGCAAATATATTCACAAGTTATCTTGGTAATCTTAATTCAGGGAAGGATTAATTGGTTGCATTTACTTACATAATAATAGCAAAGAGAATGCTCCACACAGAGGGTTAATTAGACAGGAAATCGATCCCATGATCACTTGGGGCTTCGATAATCTTTGCTTTGATTTAATCTCTTTGACGATTGGGAAAGGAAACGTTGTGGATTTATAAGGAGGACTATATACTCCCAGCTTCCCTAGTTCTTCAATTTTTATATCAGCGCTAATTTGTCCGGGACTTGTGACGTAGTTTTGCGAATCCGTGTCTGTGCTTGTTTTGATTGGTTCGATCGAATAAGGTTTTGATGACAGCCCACTTCCTGTTATTGTCCTTTCTTCATTTGTGATATTCAGAATTGCATAGTTCTCAGATTCCATTTCCTGTTTGTCATTGTTGTTAGTTGTTTGAAGGGGTACTGGCGTCACTGTCTTCATGCACGTAGTGGTACAAGTAGGACTTTCAGAAAATCCCATCGCGTCATCTTCATGTATCTTCTGCTTAATCATTGCCTCAATCTGAAACAAAAATTAAAAAAAAACGTAAAAGGTAAAAAAAAAGGCTTTCTAAAGAGCTAAAAGTTAATTAAGGTAAATGAGTAGCCTTATATAACTTTAACAGTGTATGTCAATTTTCTGTTTCTGTGTATTCTTTTTTTTTCTCCATTTTTAGGCTTTGTAGCGGTACTCAGGTCTTACGTATGTACCAGTAATAGTCCCCCCCCCCCCCCCATAAAGTGTCCTCCTGCACATTTACGTAGGCATATTTAATTTTTAGGTTATTCGTGGAAAAAAGTTAACTGAATTCCATTAATTGGTATAGTTGCTAACCCCTTTTCTCACACAACGGGCCACTTGTTTGGACCCGGAATGAAAGTATCACCGACGAAAGCTCTTACAAATGAGGTATTCCGGATATGAAGAGCGGATTTATTTAAGTAACTTGGCATCATTCAGGGATGGTCTTGTACATTTCTAATAATTTGAAAACATGTTTGTTTACGTCGTCCCGAACGAAAAGGATCTTGTGGGCATGGTAACAGCTCACTCTCTGATGTGACTTGATTCTTGAAATATTGTGTTAATTGGCACGATTTCTGGGTAATTTCTTACTGTCAAACCTGAGCTGAGTTAAGTGACATTATTTACAGCTGGATACATTTTTCTTTCATTGAGTCCCACACACATGTACTGACAGGTGTGCACCAGTACGTAGTTGTCGGAGATAGGCTAAAGCTTCTCTCTGACCACAGGATCATCTAGTAGTCTGTTACAAAATATTGTATCGCCTTCACTGTCATTTTGTACACTTATTTAGAGCCCCCCCCCCCCCCACACACACACACACACACACCCCGTGATATCAGAGGTTAGGTTTATGCCCTCTACCAGGTCCATTGATTGATTTTTCACTAGATATTCACAGATAATATATCTGGCTTAATTTGGTAATCTTCTAACTGGTTGGTGGAAAATGTGCCTATCTGCCGCCCTGGTGGAGGGTAGGTTAATGCAGTTTTTAGTCATTCAAAGCTTCTTACGTGACTGTACTAAATTCTTTTAAGTACACTCAGGGCTTCAGCCACGGCTCAATGTTTTATAGATGTACAGTACGACACTCTGCAAAATTTTATTAAATCCAGCACTGCCACCGTTTTCCATGGTTGGCGACTATTATGCCTAATATTTAAATATTTTATTGTCGGTAAAAACAGTATCCCAAGAATACAAGCTTTCAGTTTTTCACACGAGGCGTATTTGTATGATGTGTTTGAATTCCCAATAATAAACCGACAGTTCGAGAACTTTTTTTTTTGCTTTCTATTGATCTAATTTACACGTCGTTATGCCACTGTATACTTACATGCTCGCCTCTTCCCAGATGAATCCTGCCTTCATGTTATGTTGAATCGTTCCGGTATTTATGTGTTAAGTACTTCTATTTTGCAGCAAACAGGATATCCCAGAAGACATAAATAGAACAGTTCCAGGAAGTAATATTCAGGTCTTAAAGTGGTAATGGACAGATATCAATGGCGTATATGAGTGAGCGGACGAATGTTGATATATTAGTATTAGCAAGCCATTATTCTTGATTATTTCAATAATGTACTGGTACAACGCACGGTACAGTAATCGTTATTTGCTCATTCGTAAGCTGTGATTAACCGATCACGGTCTTTTCACATACAGTACATGTAGATCTCTCTCTCTCTCTCTCTTTCTCTCTCTCTCTCTGATTCTAGAATAGGAGAAGATTGGTGAGAAAATTCCAGATAGGAAACCTTATAAGTTAATAAATTTTATGAAATGGCCACCTGCGGATGCACCATGAACTGAAGTAGAAAAAATATCTAAAGATTGAGACTAATGTTTAGAATAAAATTCTTTTATAAAGCCAGTCTCATGCAACCTTCTCTTCAGCAGTATATTTGAAACCTGATTAACTTTGATCAGAAATCGACTAAAACGCGTCACCAGAGGATCAACTCAACTCAAAAATATAAACCCATTTTATTCATCTGGTCCTTTTGCGCATGTAAAAGTTTAACTCGTTTTAGACAAATTTTCATCCAACTCATACTAGTAAGTTATAATTTGGGAAAGAAAATTAACAAAATCTTGCATGCTGTCGATTTTATTTTTACCCAGAAATATTGCACAAATTACAAATCAGAGCTTTTAGTTAAATTGGCACAATAATGTGTATGTAGAATTAATACGATATTGGTTCAATTAACATATTCGCATGTGTTTTCCTCTTCAAAACGAGGTCAGCCAGAGCCTCGTATTCCTTCCATGCAGTGCTGCCCTCTCCATGGATGGGAAAAATGGGATAGGTTTGACGGAGAGTGCCTACCCCGGGAATGTTTGGCAACTTCATTCTTATTCCGCCTTTACTCACGCTGCGGATAACTCCCTTCGGATCGAGCACGCCCTTTGGTCTTGCGTCGCCATACTGAAATTCGCACGATAAACATCTACTGTTGGTGAAAGCCATTACCATTTAATGCAGATATAGACTCAGCGGGTGACGTACGTAAGCGAAAATTAAGACATCTTCATTTGAATAAATCAATACAAATACAGGGTAGATAAAGTTATTCATAACATACAACGCGTTTAAAAACAATCGATGAGACAAGACCAAATGACAACTGCCATACGCTGTTTTTTATTATTATTTTGTCAATCGCTTACTGATACAAGTAGCTTGATCTCAAAAATTAATTCTCACTGAAAAGTTTTCTGTCATATCTAATATTGCAGTCTGACAAGTAATCATTAGTTATTAGCTTATAAATTGTAGCCACACGCTAAATTCCACTAAGCGACAAACTTATTTAAGTATACCTTAGAGCTTCCGAAAAATTCACTAGGCGTACTGTAGTAAACGTATTCGCTGATCCCGTTGTAGGCTGTGGAGTTTGTAAACCTGCCTGTTCGCCCTTTGTCGTATACCGTTTTGTCATCATAACCTAATTAATTAAATATCAGAAACTTATAATCCATAATCCCGCTTCTGAGTCGACATACATGTTCATGTATTAAAGTATTTGCAGAAGTTTTATTACTTATCACTAAATAAAAGAAATTCTTACTAATATCATAATGAAGAAAAAAATTAATTTAAGCGCAAACATTGGAAAATATACATGTACTTGTAAAAGACACAGGGCAGTTACTATCATAAATATGACATGAACCTACTATTCATGTGTATGGTCAGTCCATATGGATTCCAATTAGCCAGTGGATTAAGGTAGGTCACGAAGAGCGGAATGGCGTACGACCAGCGCTGTTCATAACTTTTACATACTTTCTTCCCTCCAACAAAGTTGCAGTCTTCAACCTTCATCCCTGCTACCTATACAAGATTAATACGACATAAATCATTGTAAAATGAGGACAAGGTAATATGAATTACTGTACAATGCAATGTGTAAATGTATCTTTATTGCTGTATCTAGAGTGATGTGAAATATATCCTCTCAATTTTTAATAAGCTCTGCTACTGAAATACTTAAAGTACGAGTATCTATATACATTTACGTTTAAATTGACATATTCATGTCTATGTAAACACGTTTGAGATATCAAATCTTGATTCATCCAGTTGTACGTGGACATTTACTACATGTAATGTAGTTTAACACAAAGCGGTAACAACATCATGACCACGTGCTAGACATTGCCGTACAGCTGGTATGAGCTCCATCTGTACGTCAGTGTCTAGCATGTCATTGAATATTCCGTTCATAAATATTTGGGACATATTTATCAAAGGCTCGTGTATTTTAATTATTAAATACCCCCCCCCCCAAAAAAAAAAAAAAATTAAAAATAATAATAATTTAAAAAAATAGCACTGCATGCATTTCAAACAAATCAGTGGTAGGTTTCAATTAAAACCAACTGTGTCCATTAACGGCGTATTAATTCCCATATCAGAAATCTCTTGGAAACATTTCAATTTCAATTATCCAAAAATACATATCACTTAAAACATTAGGTCCTACCGACGGCTGTGATGTTTGTGCCATGAAAACCGTGTTGTCAGAGAATCCTCTGTGGCGAGCTTTAAGACTCCCGGTTCCGGTCTGTGAAACCTTTGACCATCTGTGGTAAAACGCGGTGTTCAGCTGGATAAATGGATTGAAAAAAATTTTAATGTATTCATGAGAGCTAGTTTATCCCCAACTAAAAGACATGTTCTAAAGGAGAAAAAACTGAGGGTGCTCTTTCAAATAGGTAGATTTTGAATCCCTAAATTATTTTCAAAGTATTATCGATGGCTCTATTTTAGTCATGTGAAATATTAGTAGTGACAAGAGCATAAATATGTCAGGGGACTCCGAAGACCATCTAGACCATCAACATTAGACTTACAATTCAAAGGGGGCACGGTTTTGAATATGTCTTTATTTCATTCTCACCTTGGCAGCATTGTTGTTGGTAGCGGTAAAAGGGTGGGTTGGTTTGGAGAACGAATCGTCATACAACTTTCCGTCGTAGTTATTTGGACCTAGGAAAAAGAAAAAATGTCAGGTGAACCAAGAAAATCTTTATCCGGCAACTACCAACTATAAGTTCCCAATCGAAGCAATCAGGTGGCTTTTAAAGCATACACTGGCTTTTAAAACATAGGTGACTCTTTAAAGCTCTTTAAAAAAAAGCGCAACCATTGCAGAACGGAAAGGCGAGCACCTACAATTCAAAATAGTGAACGTCGCCCATTTTCGATCACTGAAATTGGGGCTGCTTGGAGAACATATTTTTGTCCACTCTCACAAATAATATGCCACAAAGGAAAAGGCTGCAATATTCTAAATTGAATAACACTGACAAATTAATTTGGTTTTGTCTATCAAATATTGTCAAAGCCCCAACGTTGAAGGGATGAGGGCGAGCGAAATTCTTTCTCTGAGTGGTCACAAGATCGGTGTTACAGGGACTTCGGATATACTCTAAATTTAATCTACATAATTGCCTTTTTTCATGGCCATTTCGGCAAAATAGGGAATTTATACGGAATTCACAATTTTAAAATTATCTAATTCTAGTTGTTCTGCAAATGTCTTTATCCATTAAAAAAAAAAGGACATTATGTTGATAAGATGTGGTGCCCATGTTTGTTAAAATCACACAATGTATAAGACCTTTCTACAGCGAGCAAAAATGAATAATTCTGGAAAATTTCAGCCAGGTATGCCCTATCCAAAACCAATGAGAAAAAAATACGAGTTATAAACCTAATTTTATTAATTTCTAATTTATACCAGGCTCCAACTCCAGTACAGGAGGGTTTTGTTACACAGCCTACCTGGGACCTGAGACATCAGCTGATCGAGAAATTCATAATCGGAGTCGTCGAACTCTGAATTTGCTTTCCATGGCCGATTCAGTGGGTTAAGCTGGAACCTGTGGATTTGTGATAAATATATAATTCTGATGTAAAATGTGCACAAAGATAGCTAACAAATTTGTTTGGCTACTCTCTCTCTCTCTCTCTCTCTCTCTCTCTCTCTGTGTGTGTGTGTGTGTGTGTGTGTGTGTGTTGGCGATATGCAATTTCAGACAATTTCAGATTGAATACCTGCCTGTCCAGAGTCCTAGTAGCTTTTGGATATACCTGCTAGTGCTTTATAAAAGAATTGTTTGTGACCCCCAAATATTCAAATGAATTTTAATTCATCATCTATTTAGCAATACTCATTTAAATTTTGCATACTACAACGTGTACCACCTCTGTGGCTTTGTCTGAATGACACTGAACCTTAGCAATCAATATAGAATAATGCCCTAAAATTTAATAATCTGAAAGTGCAAAGAAACGGAGAAGGGAGTGTCTGACTTTTTCATAACAACATGCACTAACTTGGCTATATCACTACGTGAGAGTTGAGCCAGAGTCCATCTCCTTGGTGTCCGCATACTCAAGTCATCAGCAACGCGGAAGGTGCTTGTGGGGATGTCTTGATTCACGGGGTGACACAAAACTCTGTAGTCCCAAGTAGCAAACACGGGTTTACCGTTCTCAAAGTCGACGATAGACGTTGGTCTAAAGGTATGTCTGTAAGATTTAAAAATGGCATATCAAGCCATGGATAGATATATTTATGTCATACTTGAGGGGGGAGGGGTTATCTTAATGTATGTATTTTCAATGACAATTTCTTTGTACAATAATATATTAAAAAGTTTAAAGATATCGTATTTAAGTTAATATCTAAAAGACATATTCAAAAAGAACTGGAATACTTAAACCGAATTTTTTAAAGACTCACCTCTCTACTGGAATGGCTCCGCTGTAGGCTTGGTACCGGGCGCGTTCCTCGTTGGATAAAAAGGACCTTAAACAAAAAAGTTAATAATAAGCATAAGACGTTTATTGATTTCAAGGCAACAACGGCTTGAAGCTTCACAAAGATAATAATAGGGATAAATCTTTTTTTAAATAGTTATACATGTACTTAAAATAAGACATATTAATATGTTTTCTAAAAGCTGGTAAAACGGAATTTGCAATGTTCAGGATGTTAGGTGAACTTATATTCCAGTGGCAGTTAGGCCGTTTCGAAAGCTTTAAATATATTACAATTAACAATGCTTGTCTCTTTTTTTCTGAAAAAAAACGAATGTGTAGACAGAATCTATTTACTGTGAAAAAGGCAGTTTGTCGTCTCCTTGACTCTTCAGCCATTTGCCTTCAAGGTAGCAAAGAACAGGCTTGAAGTACTTTCTGTAATCCCGCACTTTGTAATTCTGGTCCCTCCAAGCCTTGAACCATTCTTTCATCTCAGCGACCTGCTCTGGCACAGTCTTTTTAGCTAAGACCTACAGTAAAAGCTTGGGTGTCTGTTAAACGATATACGACCCAAACACGCTGGATTTTCCCCAAGTGTTAGGCAACATACTCCATGTTAACTAAATAGGCATAGTAACGTTACAGAAAGAGCCCTTAAATTATAGAAGGGCAGGCCCGTAGCCAGCAATTTCAAAAGGGGGGTTCTTTTTCTGAAAAAGTGGACCTTTTCCC